AAAAAAAAAAAAAAAAAAACAAAGCCCCGGGCAAAACTTCAAAGAACATTACCTCCAGGCTTAGGACATTGTTATAAGTCACAATGTTCAATTGAACCCACTCGTGCTTGAAATACCACCAAAACCACAGAGTTGATTCATAAAATTAGTTCATAGTTACCCTTTACCTACCCCTTCTTAATTTCCTTTAAAAGTCATATATTCTCAAACCCACCAATTATTGTAAAGGTCTACCTAAACTAACCAATGCGATCTGCTTCTGTACCTTGCTTGCTCCCTCCCCATATTGTGGGTTTTGTCTTTAAAAACTGTGCCTGCCATGCTCAAGGCGTGCTCTGTTCCTGTGTGTTCAGGCCGCCCTGCGTACACGTGGATAGTAAAGCTTTCCCTTTGTGATTTACATGAGAGTCCTACTCTTGGGGTCTTCCTTCACGGCGACTCGACCCTAACATTTGGGGGCTCATCTGGGATTGTCTCCGTGGTGGGAGGCCCCAACAGCCGCCAGATCTCTCAGGGTAAGTACGGCCATATAACTTTGTTTTCTGTCTTAACATCTCTTGTGGTTTCATTTCGTTCTCAAGTTAGGAGCACTCAGTTATAATTTATTTCCTCTCTTTGGGTGTTTCTACACCATTTGGCCTTCGGGCGTTTGTGCGATTATTGGCTGTGGCTGGCAACGAGGCACGTAAGCTCCCATTGCCTGCAGCTGGCAGATGTGCCAAGAGGCTGCAAGCCACTCAGCTGAGGGACGCCTCAGTGTGGTTCTGGATCCCTGGGGTAACCCAGGATCCATTTATTGGTCTTCTGAACAGAAGACTCTTGTGTGGCCAATAGAATTTATGTTTTGACTATGTTTTAATGTTCAATGTTGTCCGTGCTCATATGTCCGGTGCCATAACTGCCTTTTTCTCCTCCTACAGCACCTGCAGCATTTTCATTGTTAATGACTTCTCTCTCATCAGTAGGATCCCCCTCCTGCCGACATCCTTCACGTGTCCCTGTTTATTTGTTTGCAGCAGCCTACACTGTTTTTGCCTGCCTCTGTCCCTTTGGAGTTCTGTGGGACATCGGTTATTTTGATAACATGGGACAAATAACATCTGCTCCTCTCGACCTTACCCAAGGTCATTGGTAGGAGATTAACACATAATCTTTCTCTGACTGTTAAGAAAGGGAAATGGCAAACTCTCTGTTCATCAGAGTGGCCCTCCTTCCAGGTGGGATGGCCTCCAGAGGGATCTTTTCACCCATCTGTGATTCAAGCAGTAAAAACCGTAATCTTCCAGGCCAACTGCTATGGCCACCCTGACCAACAATCATATATTCTAGTTTGGCAAGATCTTTGTGAAAATCCTCCGGAATGGGTAAGACCTTTTCTCCCTCCAGCTCCACCTCGGCTGACTACCATTTTGCCAGTTAAGGCCCAATCCTCACCTCCTGGCCTCTATCCACCCTTACCACCAACTGTCCTACCTGAATCTCAAACAGATCTGATTCAATTCGATCTAGAAACTCCTCCTCCCCCTCCTCTATATGTGCACGCTCCTCCTCCTCCTCCTCCTCCTCCTCCTCCGGTTACCTCTCCTCAGGCCCAACCTGCCTCTTCAGAATCCTCTTCATCAGATGACGATGGTGGACCAGCCCAGGGAACTCATGGAGCCCTAAGCAAACGAGCAAAAAGTCCCCAAGATGTGGTTGCTACTCTACCCCTCTGGTCCTACGGACCAATGATAGACAACGGTCATGGAGGGGAAATACCAACACTTCAATGGTGGCCTTTCTCTACTTCAGATCTGTATAACTGGAAAAATAACAATCCCCCTTTTTCTGAAGACTTTTCCAGGTTGACCGCACTACTGGAGTCGCTCATGTACTCTCACCAACCCACTTGGGATGATTGTCACCAGTTGTTGAGTACTCTGTTCACTCAAGAGGAAAGGGAAAGAATCCTCACAGAAGCCAGGAAATTGGTTCCTGGACCCGGTGGAATACCTACCCAGATGCCTAATCTCATTGATGATGCCTTCCCCCTGCACCACCCTGACTGGGACCCAAACACCCCTGAAGGTAGGGAGCATTTGTCCATCTATCGCCAGACTCTCATGGCGGGTCTCAAGGTGGCCGCACGATGGCCTACTAATTTGGCTAAGGTAAGAGAAATTAATCAGGGCCCCGATGAGTCACCCTTGGCATTTCTAGAAAGAATAATGGAGGCTTATCATAGATATACTCCCTTCGATCCTCAGGATGAAGGGTTAAGAGGATCCATTGCTATGACTTTTATAACCCAGTCAGCCCTAGACAACAGAAAGAAACTTCAACGTTTAGATGGGTTACAAACCGCAACCCTTAGAGACAGTAAAGGAAGCAGAGAAAGTGTTTTATAAAAGAGAGACAGAGGAGGAAAAAGAGGTGAGAAAAAAAAAAAAGAAAGAAAGAGAAATGATGAGGGAAAAGGAAAGAGAACGAAGGCGAAATAAGGAATTAACTAAGATCTTGGCCACAGTAGTTCAGGGAAACACAGATGAGAAAAAGCCACGCCGCCTTCTGTTAGAGCCCAATCAATGTGCTTACTGTAAAGAGATAGGACACTTGGGCTGGAGAGATGGCTCAGTGGTCTAAAGCACCTACTTGGAACAAGCTTAGCAAAAGCATCAGGGACCGCGGTTCAA